AGCCTCGCGAGGGGAGCGCCATGACAGGTGTCCCTGTGTCTGTCACGGCTACACCTCCGCCTCCACTCCAGATAAAAATAGTTCCTTCCTCCTTGCAGGGCAAAGAAACCCTTCCAATTATTGTACCTAATACTTTGTCCACATCATCTGCTGTGACTTCGTCCTCCCAGTCTGCACCTGTTGTGTCGGTGCAGGTGGTGAATTCAGCGGACGTGTCAGGGAGTCCAGATGAAGATGAGGTTACAGAAGTACTGCCCTCAGAAGAGGTAAAACGTCTTATTTCATTTCTGTGTTTTGCGTCAGCTTCATTTGATCAACCATTTGTTAATGTTGAATGTTTCGTTTCTCAAAGCTGCTTCATAAATTATCTTCACGCAGCACCAAGCTGATGTCATAGCAACCAATTTCAGAAGCGCAGATCAGTATTCATATCTACTTTTAACAAAGATTTTAAATAACTACACAATCTCCCTTTTTTCCTTCACAAGTTAGACTATGTTAAATGTATCTCTCCAACCAAGAGCTGGACGATATGGCCCAAAAATTATATCAAGATAAAAATGTTCATATCAGTAAATATCGATGATTATCACGAAAGACTGCTCCTCAGTGAGGGTTGTGGTTTTAAACTCTTCTTCATGAGCAGAGAATGACATTTGACGAACATATTTTATAAATCAGGTAGATCAGTTATGTTATACCTCCTCGCTGATCTATTTAATCAACGTGGATGAAATTAACTTTCTCCCTTTACTATTTTTAGATTTCAAAATCAATTTCAACTTTAAAACAACCTCCAAATTCTAAGGCACTGAATTGATATACGAGACAAAGTATAGGGCATAAATACTGTTGCCTGGATATTTCATAATCTTTTGAGTTGAAAAGTAATGGTTAAAATGCTCACATGAAGTCAGGAGGAGTGAAAGAATCTGCCTCTACTAAATAAAAACAAAATCAGTTATTTTGTGTTTTGTATGTTTTGATTTTGACTTTTTACATTAAATCCAACAGGGGAAATATTTATCTTCATCATATTTAACTTTTAGTTTAATGTTTTCTTTCATTGTGTCAAAGAGCTTTGTTAGGAAACTTACACAACAAACTTGGATCTGAGTTTATAAAATAGCAGGTCCTGATGTTAATGATGCTCTTCTAAATGTCCCCACCTGTTCTCAGGATGAGATGGAGATGAATGGATCCGTTGGTGCAGCATCCATGAATAGTGTGTGTGTTAGGGTGGGCTGTAACAACCCAGCAGTGGAGAGTGACGACTGGGACAAAGAGTACTGCAGCAACGAATGTGTGGCCACCCATTGCAGGTGTGTAGAGCTGTGACTTATGTAATGATGAATACATAAAGTTGTTTAAGTGACACAATAGCAAGTTATGAAAACTACCTGTTAGAAAACAATACCAGGTTGTCATCTGTCCTGCGTCCTTTGTCCTCTTTCAGCTCCCACCAGCTGTGGGTGAAAATGCTCCAGTTTTAACTCCTGTTCCGTTTCTTACTCTGTTCCCTTCTCTTTCGTCTTCTTCTACAATGTCTGCTTCAGTTTCTTCTGTGGCTCTGCTTTGATGTGCAACACTTATAATGGTGAAGTAGTTGTCACTTGCTCCAGCTCTGGTTCTGGGTGTGTGACGTATGTGGTAAAGCAGGTCGCTATGTTTCAACACAGGAAACCTGAGGTACATAGTGCAAATCTAGACCTCCAGGCCTCCAGGGAGCGCTGTGGCAATCACTTACATGAGATTCTCTCTATTATAAGATTGTGTACCATCAGAATTATTATGAAGTAGTTATTTTTGTACGGTATAAAAAAACACTAGTGTTGCATTAACCTATGCATTTTCTGTTTTTCAGAGATATATTCAAATCATGGTTCTCCATCAGGAATCTGAACATGGGAACAGTGAAGTAAAGAGCAACTTTTTCACTCGGAGCCAGCGTTGATCATTCAAAGATGGAGGCAGAACTGGTTTCAAAAACAATTTCTCAAATTTCAACCATGCATTTCACTACAGCTACAAAATGTCATAATTATCTCACCTTTCTGTTTATGTACTATAGGTTTTACAGTTGCTGATATGACAATTAAAATAGTATTGCCAAAAGGACAGCTGGTATTTTTGTCACTCTAACTATGGAAACATCGGCTTTGTGGATAATGACATTGTGCTATGTTTGATATATGTACAGATTTTAGTCCGACATCAAGGGATTTGTGGCAGCTAGAGAGAATATTGGCACAATGAAGTAAACAAGACAGTCAAGGAAATTGTCTTTAAAACAGCATATGGGTCGTACATACAGGAAACATTCATTTAGATTTTTTTTCTTTATTTAAACCCACACAGGGTAGTTTATACTTGTTACCTATAACTTCTGCATCAAAAGGAAGAAAAGTGTTTCTCATGGCGCCTCGCTCCAACAAAGATGTTTATGGCGTTACTGCACAGTTCTCACCAATGATTTCAGACTCATGATGTAATGTTCAATCATTAAGTGACAAAAAACAGTATTCAAATGCCTTAGTTTGAGAAGAAAACAGTTTGTATCACCTTGTTTTTGTACTGAGAATATTGACCTTAACATTTGCCTCCAGTTTTTGTAAAACATTTTATTCAGATTAATGTCAGTTGTTAAAAAATGTGCGACTTTCATGTTTTCATAAATAAATTAGAAAAAAAATGCTTCATCTCGTGGATTTTCTTTTTGCTGTGTCCTTTAAAACAAAAAATAACATTTGAGAGAATATCTATTGCAGTATATGTCTGACAAATGAAAAGATGAATTCATAAACAATTAAATCTACCTTCACTCAGTTCTAGACACTCACTTCTTCATTAGTTGGTGACCAAGGACTCTATGTAAATGTGAGGGCTGACAGCTAGGAGTTAGAGCACCGCCCTGGTAGGTGGGATTAGAGAGCTCCCGCCTTTATAAGAACAGGTGAGGGCAGTTATTGCCTCTTTGTCTGATGCCTGGAAGATGGGACTGCTGTGTTTGTGCAGGTAAGGGTAACTGGGACAAAGAGATGGGTTTTATTTGTCTGCTTGGAATCTAATGAGGTTTCTTGTACATTCGGTTGTGTGGCCACCCAGATCTCACTGGCCCCATGCTTGAGTGGAGAAGATCCAGGGTTCACCTCTCCCCTGTTTGAGCCACAGTGCAGAGTCAGCCATCTAACGCCGCTGTGAAGTAGGGCCCCATATTGAGAAAGGTAACATTTAATAGTTTTTGGTTGTAATTTGATGACTGCCAGACAGCTGCTTTGTCTATACCAGTGTTGTCAGGCCACTGGTATCTGCTTTTATTTTATACTGTTGGTCCGACATCTCATGCATCACATTCCTGATTTTTTTTTTTACCTTTAATAATTGTATTGTTTTTTAAATATATTTTATCGTAACCCTGAACCAGCTGAGTCTCACTCTTTCTTTGTTTTAGGCAGGTGGATGATATTTGGGGAACAGTCTTAGGATCCACATCACTTTGCATGCAGTGTGGTAGGCCTGAAGGGTGGTGGTCATCCACAATTTCTTGCCATTTATGTTAAAGTGTGTTTCTCTGTAGTCTCAGTAATTCAGGTATTTTAGCTTTTATAAACATTAGGAAGTAAAAGTTAGTGTCTCTTTATTTATCGTTGTATATTTTTTCCCTTTCTAAGTCCTTTGTTTATCTGTTGTGCCTGTGCACTTTATATGTTTCACTGTGGGGAGAGTGGGAAACGTTCTTTCGACTGCTTTGTATGTTTACATGTGAAATAGTTGACAATAAAGCTACTTTGACTTTGACTTTGACTTTTATTCCAGTCCTCATTAATAAAGATTTAATTGTAAACTGAACGCGCGTCTCTCGCTCTTCTTGAACCACCAAAAATGTGATTGTGTCCACACACACTTCAGCCGATCTGTAGTTGAGGAAATCATTTCTTTTACCATAATACAGAACTAAAAGTGCACTAATGTAAACTGTTTAAAATATCTGACTTTTGGAAAGAGGGCTTTCTTCACGTTGGATGTCTTTCCTCAGTGAATTCTGTGATTTGTTGCCTGAGCACTAGAGTGTTGGTCCATACTCCTGTTGAATACACCCCTCTGCTATTTAACTTATCTATATTAAGCTCTGTAATCACACACTTGCAGTGATGTGACATTTCTCACTTGCAATCAACAAAAATATTTTCCAAAATGGTCAGGGGTCAAACTGTCCATTAGTTTCCACATGTGCTAAAAACGGACAAAAACCCAGCTAAACATTTTATCTCAAGCTTTAAAGTTGTTAAATGTTTCTTAATGGTGTAATACTGATCTACGAAGCATTAGCAGTGTTGGCAAATGTTTTAGTAACCTGTTTTTAAACTTGTGTATGCTTTCTGCAAACTTGTGTTGGTAGTGATGGTTTACGCAGCAAAATATACTTATAGTTGCCAGAAAAAGGTTTTATTGTATTAATGCACAAGATAAATGTTATAGGTTATATAGGATGAAGGGTGTCAAAAGACAAACATTTGTCAGTGTAAAGTATCTATATTGAGGAATAAAGGCATTTAAAAGACTTTTAAAAAAACATCATACAATCTTTGTGTTTTTTTAAACATTAAACCAGCTACAGGGTCATGGGAAGAGGGAAGACTACTCTCAGTAGTAAAACACAAGAAAAGAATATAGACATCAAATACAATCATCAGTGGAATAACTTCATCTGTCATCTTTGACACAGGAATGTTTGGCAGGTGAGGATCAGTTTACTGGTGTTTTCCGAACCAGTGAGAACCTCAGCACATCTGGAGTCGATCTGCTTCAATTATTGTGCGTCTCTCAAAAGGTGTAAAACTTCTACTCACTGTCCCCGTCCCACTATTTGTTCACAATCACAGGGAGCAAACACATGGCTAGACATAAGAAATACAGGAAGGAAAAAGTAAAAAAACATCAGTAGCATATATTCAAAAAAAGACAATCTCCATCCAACTGCAACTGTGATGATTATAAAACTTTCTGGAATGGCTGTCAATCTCAACCTGGTATTAACATCCGTCCTGAGGGATCCGATCACAAGTGGACAAGTTCGTCTGTGGTATTTAATACGTTCCTGAACGTGTCTCCTGTTTGTCTCCTTTTGATCGGATCTCACTTCTCCACATGCAAATACTCGTATTAACCATTTGTGTTCACAAAGACCAATTTGTGTTGTTTTTTCCCCAGTCTGAGTTTTTAGATGTGTCTGATATAACTGTGTGTGTGTGTGTATGTCGACCTGAGCGAAAGAGAGCAATCACAGTCAGGAGGGGCTGCATACATTTTGTTCTGCGTAGATCTGCTATGAAGAAAGATTTTATCCATGTAAAATAAATATTAATCATTGTGGTGGTTCAGTGTTGAGATTCGCAGCATACAAAGCATAAAAATATGTTTGAAACTGCAGCGGAGTAGGTGGTCCGTTGTGTGTGACCCAGGACATATTGGCGTTCACACAGTGAAAAGAATGTGGACACATGCGTCCCAGATCACCTTGCAATGTGGTTTGAGGAATCAGATCTCAGGATGCATTCGGGCGTGTTCAGACTTGAACTTAGCGGTGATCACTTGTGATCCGATCACTCAGGATGGACGTTAATGGGTCTGAACGAGGTTAGCATGAGGTAGAAAATGGTGACGCCACCATCAGCAGCTACATGCCAGCAAGCGTTTTAAATGAAGGGACAAAGTATCCACACTTGCTCAGATTGTGTTTCTCCAGATTCCTCATGATCCTGAATGTCTTCCCACAGGTGCTGCAACTGAAAGGCTTTTCTCCAGTGTGAAACCTCAAATGAGATTTCAGATTTTCACGAAGGCGAAAGCTTTTGCTGCACTGTGTGCAAGTATGTGGCCTGTCCCCAGTGTGGAATCTCAAGTGTCGGCGGAGGCTCTTCCTGAGTGCAAACGTCTTTGAGCACACTGAACACGGGTATGGTTTCTCTCCGGTGTGGAATCGTTCGTGCCGCCGGAGAATCTTCCGGTGTTTGAAAGTTTTCCCGCAGGCGCTGCACGCGTACCCCTCGCGGGAGTGGGTGACGACCGTTTGGAGGCGCCAAATCCCGTTATCACATGGGGTGAAACAGCAGAGGCGATGGCCTGTGTGGAGGCTTTGGTGGCGACGGAGATCTTTGGGCAGACGCAAACCAGCTTTGCGGTTGGGAACTTCATCTTGAAACTTTGCCGTGAGCACGTTCACCACCTGCACCACACAACGACTCAGCAGCTTTTGATCTGGAGTTATCAACTTCAGTTTCATCTGGAGACCGTTCTTTGTCTCCTTTGTCTGGGTCTTGTCCCAAACTCCAACGTGAATAGCTCCATCTGACAGGGACGGACTGTAGGCGGTGCCCTTGGCAGTGCTCACACAAGTCTGCTGCGGCTCTGGTTTAAGGATCAACGGGCAAACAAACTTCACATCGTCCTCTGCAGCGATGTCGCTCGTTTCTGGCAGGATGTCGAGAGGCTTTTGGGTTGTTGTTGTTGAGCTCTGCATGGTTGTGTCAGCACACACTGAAACACATCAGTTACACTTTTTATTATATTGTACAATCCCACTATTTTTCAACATCCTTCAGGGTGCAGAAAGCATTTTGTACATGTGCACTGATGTGATATCATTCTCACATCTCATCTCTGCCTTGTCAGATCAGCGTTCAAATCCCCAACAGATGCAAAGTTTGATATTTCAAAGAAAATGAAATATCGAAAACATTTTCGGTGAACAAACATCGGGCGAAGAGGAAGACACCAGTTCATTGTTACTGTGATTTCCATACAGCTGCCCCGGGTGGTGGTAAAAAGCCTACTTTTACTGACAACTCATTTAAATGAAACTTTTACTTCTATTTCACCTCCTGTTGTGGAGTGAAACATATCCCAGCATGCACTGGAACAGTTTCCGTTCTACGAAAGTTATATTCCATTTTTGTTTTTCATCAACAGCTCAATTCACATTAAAATGAAGCGCTTAACAAATACAACCCTGATTAGATATTATAATTTCTATTCTCCCTCTCAGTATTCACAGTATGAAAAAAAAAATACAGTCATTGATCTGAAAGCCCCGACTGCACAAATATTGGTCTGAAAAATGAGGGAGTCAAGTTTTATAGAGTCTCTTAAAAGTATTTGATTCCTAGTAAAATGTACACTAGCTTATATTCGTCTCATTCATAACAGTGTAGTTCAAACTGGTTGCCTGTGTGTGGTTCTACTATAATCGTCAATTGATAAATAACTATTTTTGTGTGGTTTGCATCATTTGGCTCTGTTCATGCTTCTAGACGGTCAAGGATGTTTCAGCCTTGAATTTTACAGGATGAATTTGAATTAAGTGCCTTGGTTTTCTTTTTCTTACCATGCAAAACAATTTCTGTTTTGGATTCACTATCAGCTGGAGACTCTGTTTCAAGGACGCTCAGCTCCACCAAATCCACAGTCTCTGCCAAAAGCTGTTCAAAAACAAATGACAGCAAAATTCAAAACATGTCACTTCAAAGTAAGCAACATAGTACATGCAAGAACAACTAACGTCACCTGCCGGGGAGACAAAATCCATTTCAAACTAGAATGGCACTAAGTGTTGCACACCTCTGCCAAGGCCCAAAGTACAGTCCCCTTATGAAACCAAATTTAAATCCACTAGATCTGGATTTTTATTTGGATCTGCACCCAACTGTACACTCTGAAAAATATAAGTCCCCTAAACATACCTGATTTTTTTCATCAAGTTCTATAAATTATTACTCCTTCCATGTTTTCGTCTGTTTGTGTTTGTTAGTTAGAGGGATTACGCAAAGATAACTGGATGCCCTTGCAAACCCTCACTGACCTTTTCCTTCAGAGGCGGTTGTTTAGGGTTAACATGGTCATAATCTCCAGTCAGGAGGACTTCTGATGGAATGAGGCAACCCTCCACCACAGCCAGCTCCTCTTTGCAATCAGTCAGAGAATCACCATTTGAGAGAGAGGGGGGGCCTGTGGAGAAGAGAGGGGGGAGGGGATAAGACAGAGGCACACATACATTCCTACAGAATGAGGAGCACCCTGCAGGAGTGCAACTATCTTATACATGCGTCTTCATTGCATTGGCCACATTTCAGATTTGATTACCACTTCAATCAACTTTTGTGCAGAATACACATGCACCTTCTTCTCCTGCACAGCCATGGTCCTAAGCAGGAAGTTAGAGCACATACAGCTTAAAAAAACACCCACGTACCAGGAAGCTCCAGCTGCGGATAAATAACCTCGTCCACTTGCACCCCGATGCTGCGTTTAGTGTCCGCAGCAGATGAACCGGCCAGTTTCTCCAGCGTGCCCTGTTCCTTCTTGACGGCGGTGCGGCCCGCGGCCACAGCGGGCGAGGCTCGATACCTGCTCTCGAACAGTTTGGTCAACTCCACCGTGGCCGCTTTGACCAGCGCCGACAGCACCGACTCCACCTGAGCCTGCAGGTTCACCACGTCCGCGGACATGTTGCTCGGCTCAGAGATCGTGAGGAGGAATAGCAGCAGATCAGAGGAGGAGAGTCAGAGGAGATCTTCTCTATTTACCAACCACGACCACATGGCTCGTCAAGGATGGGGGCGTGTCCAGCGGGGGCGCAGGCGCGGTCAAGACTGAGGGGGGAGGGGGCCAGTGACGTCATAAAACGAGAGTAGAGTTGTGTTGCTCTTTGACATGAAACTTTTTTATTGTTTCCTTGGAAAATATCAAAGTTCTCTTTTAATTAATTGAATGAAACAGGTTGAATTTAATTACAAACAAAACATCGATTCAACTGGGATGGAAAAATCTGAATCATTGTTGAATTTTCAATGCTCAATAACGTGGAGCCAGTGTTGTTCATTCATTTCTTTGTGAATGTTAAAATGCCAACTGTGTTGCATCAAAACTTTCAGGCAACTTATCTCAAAATGTTAAGATGGAGTTTCAACATCGGCAGACACATCTCGACACACTCTCGATGTATATGCAGTGATGTTTTCAATAACACCAGTGTCACTCATGCTGTGTCACATCCCTAAACTGTTGTTCATTTCTTTTTATTTTATTTGTAAAATGTATTAATAAACGGTCTTTAGATTAACAACCCTCCTTCCAACCTTGTTTTTTGTGGGCGTTAAGCAGATTATAGAGAAACTTAACACCACACTCAAATATATGTATTAATGTCTGATTCATTCTGGCTAACCTGAGACCCGAGCTTTTGTTTCATATCTATTTTTTGTTTCTCCTTGTTATTTGGGATTAGTAGGACCTGTTGAGTATAAAAACTAAGCATTGTCTTAAATCAGGAAGTACTTTTGAAAAAAATTATGTCCTCATATGGGGACAGTAGTATTATTTTGCTGTATAACACAACAAAATCACTGATATATAACAAAGTATAAAAGTGTTTATTTTAATGCCTGGGTTAGGGTTAGGGTTAGGCTATGCAAAACAAGTATTGCAATATCTCATCAATAACCCTGGGCTGTAAGAACAGTGTAATAATTTCTGGCCTGTGTGAAAGGCTGCATAAACTGTTTTGTTCAATTTGAAAGCATAGAAACACAATAACAACTGTGGCTACATTTGAACAAAATTGCAAATAATGCAACTATGAATTTTCCTTGCTCTATAATCCTAACAAGGAATGTTCTTTTTGTCTGTAAGAACAGTTTGTCACACCTATTGTCCTCTGTGAAATACTCCATAACAATGACCTTCACTTTGCAAGCACAGGAACACATTACACGTCATGCATGAGATTTCCCAGATTACCCAGATTTTTCTCTGCAACACATTGGATTCTTCAGGTTGACCATCTCTAGAAGATGTACAGCAGAAGTTGTGCAGACGTGACATGATGCTTTTTGCCTTTTTGTGATAGGTATACCCTCTTTTCCTTATTATTACTACATTTAATTTGGCGGACGCTTTTATCCAAAGCATCTTACAATTAGTGCATTCAACATCTATGAGGTTTATCAGTATCCCAAAGGAAATAGGGCATGTAGATGGGGAAGATGGATGAGAATCCAACCGCCGACCTTCTGGTTGGAGGATAACCACTCTACCCCACAGCATGTTCCACATCAGTGTTGCACTTGGTCACGTATGCTTGGGCCACAGCCATGCGAAACTCGAGGAACTGCTTTTAGTGTTGTCTTTGCGATATAATAGCCAGCTGTTGGCTAAAGCGACATCAGTGAAGTGCATCAGCATCTGAATTGTCCGCTTCTTAGTTCGAACGCTCATTCTGTAACTCATCATCCTGTCTACCAAGTCAACACCACCCATCTTTTTTACTACATGCAAGAACTTTTTATTCACTTATAAACTATTGGTTTCTTCACAAATCCTCCCAAACTATATCTCGTCACACTTTTACTTAGCAAGAACAATAACAAAGTCCCAATGTCCTCAAACAAGTACTTCAAATTTAGCAGCAGTGTAGCTTGTTGCTATTGCTTAAATTTGTCAAATTTGTATATTTAAATTATTAAATATAAATGTTTTAAGTTTCAACCACAAAACCTGATGAGGTTTTGTACCTTGTCCACTTTTGTCATGATCTGCCATAGAAAGACTTGGCTGAGATGGCGGCCATCTTGCTTTAACACTGATAAGTGTTTGTGCTTTTACTACCACCTAGTGGTAGTAAAAGTGTCTATGAATGAAGACAACAGGTCGAAGTTAAGCAGAAATGAAGTATAAGGTGCAACAATGTGCATGTGAAACCCATGCAGGGTCTCAAAGAGCAGTCAACCTGAAATCCGGAAGCAAACATTTACATACTCCACACACACACACACACACATACACACACACACGCACACACACATACATTTAAGAAACTATACAGTAGTGGGGTTTCTGTCCAAGCTGTCGTTTATTTAAGACTTTACAGTAAGTTAAATTTCTCTTGTTACAAAAATAGAATACGGCTGTTGTCATATTTCATCATTGTAGAAAACATCCATATGATGTACAGCACTTTCAGTGTATAACATTACATTGAGTTCATAGAGTTAGCTGGTGATACTTAGGACCCGTCAGAAAAGCCTGCTAGCACCCTCAATCTGACTGCACCTGTTTCGATACTGGGGCAAAAAAAAAAGGGTAATATGTAAATAAATAGAACAGACAGACTCCACAGATGTACTCAGACATAATGTATACAACGTTGCAACCCCTCCAGTACTTTGTAAAATAAAAACTTTAATAATATAAAAATCAATAGCGGTAGATGGCAAGGTTTTGAAAGAATTTCTTCTTTTTATTGTACCAGACAGTGTTACATGTGGGAATAAAGGTACTGTGGGATGTTAGAGAGAACTTGGTTGCATGGAGGATTACAGAATATGTAGGAGAGAGGGATAAACGAGTGGTGGAATATGGTTCTGTGAGATGCAGAGCAAGGATGATGAAATAATGAGATATCAAAATGAACTGATGAGTTCAACAAAAGAACTAGTTACAAAAGATGACACTGACAGAGTGGATGATGTTGACTCTTGAAACTGCATTGGTCAGACTTAAAGACAACGCTACGACTTAATGGTTTAATAATCATCATCATCATCATCATCATCATCGTCATCATC